CTGGGTTTGGAGGTTGAGAGGCGGAGCCTCGTAGATCTGGGTCTTCCCCCTGCGGTGGTGGAGACAATTCAGGGAGCGAGGGCGCCGTCCACCGTGAGGGCCTACGCCACGAGGTGGAGGCTATTCAGTGCCTGGTGCGATTCCCGTTCCTGGGATCCCAGGTTTTGCCCGCTGGAGGGGGTCCTGGGATTCCTACAGGAGCTTTTCGACAAGGGGAGGGCTGTCGCTACCTTGGCGGTGTTTGCGGCAGCCATTACTTCAGGTCACGACGGGTTCGGGGGGTTCACAGCCCGCTCTCACCCGTTGATTAAACGTTTTCTGCGGGGGGCGCGCAGGAGGAGGCCCCCGCTCCAGAGAACGCCTCCGGTTTGGGACCTCAGGGTGGTCCTTAGGGGGCTGTCGGGTTCGCCTTTTGAACCGGCGGCGGAGGCGAGTCCCGATTGTATCGCTTTTAAGACGGCCCTCTTGCTGGCGTTGGCGTCTGCAAAAAGGGCGGGCGATTTGTGTGCGCTCTCAGTCCATGCGTCGTGCCTGTCCTTTGGAGAGGACGACGGCATGGTGGAGTTGTGGCCCAATCCGGCTTTTCTCCCCAAGGTCATCACGTCGGCCTTTAGGTCGAGAGTGATCAGGATTAGGGCTTTCCACCCGCCGCCGCATGCCTCCCCCGAGGAGGAGCGGCAGCACCTTCTGTGTCCTATCAGAATGCTGAGGCATTACCTGGCCATGACGTCGTCATTCAGGTCGGGTGATCAGCTGTTTGTGTGTCTGGGCCCCAAGAACAGGGGCGCCCCGCTGTCGGCTCAGCGGCTGGCGCATTGGGTCGCCACGGCGGTGCGACGGGCGTATCAGGCGCAGGGCCTGGCCCCCCCGGTGGGTTTCAGGTCGCATTCCACGCGTGGGATGGCGGCCTCTACGGCCCTTCTCAGGGGGGCGTCGGTCGAGGACGTTTGCCGTGCGGCTTCTTGGGCGTCGTCCTCCTCTTTCGTCCGGTCTTATCTTTCGGATGTGTCGGACCGGTCGGTGGCCCATTCCGTGCTGAGTGCAGCGGATTGAGTTGGACCGTTGGGTCCCTCCCCTGAGGAGTGGGCCTTCGGTCTATTTTTCCGCCCTGGTGCAGGAGCTCTTGGGAGAGGCATCCTACAGGTGCGGTACATATATGTGTGTTTGATCGGTCTGGTAGTCTACATCAGGAGCTCTTGGGAGAGGCGCCCTGTGACTACGGTTGACCTACGATTGGTGTTACGTGGGGGCGTCCTTGGTAGGAGTGGCCCGGTAACACGCTTTGTTTCTTCTGCCCTGAGTCCTCTCACGGTGTGAGGGTCTTGCTCGGGCGGAGCTCCAATCACCCTTCGCTGGCCTGCTGGGAGTACATGTTCCTACGGCCTCCGCGTTGTGTCCCACTAGCGAAGTCCTAAGGGACGTAGCACCATGACGTAGAATTAATAGTTACCTAATGTAACTTAAGTTCTACGAATAGGTGCGTAGTCCCTTAGCTACGAGCCCATCAGGCCAGCCCGGCTTGGCAGAGTTCAAGAGGGGGTGCGGCCTTGTGCAGGGGCATTTATAGAGGAAGGTGGCTGGTGATTGGAGCAAATTATTTTGATCTCTCTGGCGTCTGTGACCTGGGGGTCACGTGATATCCCACTAGCGAAGTCCTAAGGGACTACGCACCTATTCGTAGAACTTAAGTTACATTAGGTAACTATTAATTACGCGGTTTTTACGAAGAAAGTGGCATTCACGAATATTTCTCGTAACCAGAATTTCTCTTGGGCAAGTACAAATCCTACGAGTCCTCAGGAGCACTCGTACGCATTCAGTGCCGACATGTTCACAGCCGGGGTTGTCCTCTTTGGTGAAGTTGAATAAAAATACAACATTCCAGTGATATGTCCGTCATATCGATGTATGTATTTATTTATTTGTAGTAATCTTTATTAGTAATCTTTATTTATATACCGCCTTTTTCACTGCAGATCTGGCCTACTTTTTAATTCATTTTGAAATGAAATGTGCCAACGCTTTATCAAATACATTGGAAATCTTGCCGTGTATTAGTGACCCCTTCCTATTTATAGGGGGCATTTCTTTATCCACGGGCCACAGAACAACGGCATATATACTGCTGCTGCAGGAGGTTAGTCCGCGCTGAGTCTCTGCGCTGGTCTCTCCCATGGATCTATACGGGTCTGCACTGGTCTCTCCTATGGATCTATACTGGTCTGCACTGGTCTCTCCCATGGATCTAGACGGGTCTGCACTGGCCTCTCTCCATACGGGTCCGTGCTGCATGCTCCTGGATCCATACGGGTCCGCGCTGGTCTCTCAAGTCTGGTCTATGCGGTCTCTCTTCGGTCCGCGCTGGTCTCTGCGCACCGGTCTCTCCAGTCAGGTCACTCCAGTCTATGCGGTCTCTCCTATAGGTCCGCGCTGGTTTCTGTGTGCTGGTCACTCCAGTCTCTCCTCGGGTCTGCATTGGTCTCAGCGCTGGTCCGCGCTGGATCTCCTCCCAGGGTCCAAAATATTTTGAGATTAATCTCAAAACATTTTGAGATTCATCTTTAAAATAATACATAATATATTTTTAAATTAAGCTCATAACATTTTGAGATTAATCTCATCATATTCTTAGATTAATCTCATAATTTTGCTAGTTCGACTTTATTATCATAATATTTCGCCTTTTAAGTCAACATTTTATAACTTTATTCTCAGTCTGGTAAAGGAAGAAAAAAGGGTGACTATTTTGCTCCGTGTAACTCTGCTTTAGGCCTGTTGCTGTTTCCTCTGCCGTCTGCACACGGCCCTGCAGTCCCTTATATGGGCATTAGTGGGCGGTTACTTATGCTAAGTACCTATGCTAATGAAGCACCTGGCACGCGCGCTGTATTTACGAGGAAATGGGATTCATCAATCTGAGAGAACAGCTGCGAACAATTCAGCGGCTTACGAGTGCGTTGATGAATCCCACGTGGGGACTTCTTAGAAATCTACTTAAGGACAACTTGAGAAGAAAGTTGAGTAGTTTCTTACGAAGTTATTCGTGAATGAGGCCCAATGTTTTCACACTTTCTACAAAAACGGAAAAAAATAACCAGAAAGATATACTTCTTCACAGTAAAATGTTTTGTTTTTGGCAGTACATTTTAAAGTTGCGTTTTGCTTAAAAAGGGGTGAAACTTAATTTGTATTACACTAAATGCATTTGTGTTTCAAAAGAACTGCTCAGTAAATATCTTTGCATATTTTTCTGATGACAATTATCTGTTTTTGCAAATTAAATTGTTGTAGTAGAAAGAATCTTGTAAAGTAAAATGTTAAAATCAGGACACAACATGCTGTCTTGATGCTGCAGCAAAAAAACTAATGATGTTATCCTTACTGCTAAGACCCTTGGGAGTTTTAACCTTTTGGGCTTAGAGCTGATTGCCTGATTGGATTCACTTTTCTGTATTAAAAAGATGTGACGATTTCCAAAAAATACATGTTTATTTATTTATTTGAACAGTATTAATACTGCACAAAAGGAGTGGGCTGAAGCAAAAAGCTTATTAGCACCGCACCCCCACAGTCAATTACAATCAAATTTTACATATTATAATGAAAATATTACAGGACAAGGCACACAAAAGAGCTGCATCTGCACAGCCTGAATTATAGAATAATCAACAATCAATTTACAGAGTAAAGAATATGTCATGACTTTGACTTCACTGACCAGAGAGAGACCAGAGAGAGACCAGAGAGAGACCAGAGCCTCACTGACAAAAGGACAAAATAGATTTTAAGTTTTATGTTTCAAGGCAGTTTCAGTAACAAAAATTTGAACTGTTCTTCTTATTCTTATTACCAGAGTGAGACACAACAACAGTCTGGTTAAGACAGATCTCCACAAAGCAAGAGACATCATATAATTATTTTTAGATATACTGACAACAAGTTACTGAGAACTGATTAAACCCATTTTGCTCAAAAAAGAGATGTTGCCGCTAGAAAGCAGAGTATTTTTTTGAAAATGTGCATAGATGGATTTCTTTACATAGCTTTTGGGTTGGAAGTTTGGTACCCCAGCTTTAAGAAAGAGAGGTACTTTAAGACAGTGCCAAAGTGGATTAGTCTTAGCCGCTGGATCCTTTTTCTACACTTGCCTATTATTGATTTCTAATATTAGCAGACGCTCTATGAAGGTTCTTTTTATCAAAACCTTTTATTTCTTAAAATCCCTGCTCCGCTCTGCAGCTCTTTGTAAATTGAATCTTTTGAAAATCCAAAGGCTATTCTCATGGCCATCAGCTTGCACAATATAAGGTGCAGATTACATTATAGTGAGATTCTGATTGCTCATTAACCCTTTTTGTGACAAAGTAGCAGAATTGCGATGCAAGCAAAATACAGGACACTTTTTATACAGCTGCCTCGCTTCCCACAAACATCCCTGTAATTCTTTCTCATATAAATATACATAAAATAGGATTAGAGGCCCCAGTATACATACAAATAAGAGGTTGTTGTGTAAGAAAAATAATGCATGAAATGAAAATAATTCAATCAGAAGTTCAAGGCCAATATTTCTTCTCTTTTTTAATGCACTGTGTAGGATTTTATTGGCTTGTGTGAGATTATTTTCTTGTTTTGTGAAGCACTTTGAGTTCCACTGTGTATGAATTGGGCTATACAGATATACTTGACATAATGTTCTTTCCGGTATTGACTAAAGTAATCCATCTATTAAGTTACAGGGTGTCACCTTATGTCTATAATGCAATACATAAAAATTAAAAAAGCTAGCACCTAAAGAGTTGAGAAGTCCTTTGGCCGTCCTTCACCAGCATCACAGTTGATCCGGTCCAGGTCTTGGCCTATAATCGGGTCTCCTGGCTGACAGTCTTAGCGGGATTTTGAACCAAAGAATGTTGATGTCAGCATCCTTAAACGCTTTCTGCATCACATTATAGCTTCCTGTAACACTTTCTTTATTTTCTTTTTTTTTTGCCTTCCAGTTTTTATCTGCAGCTTCATGGTGGCGGCTCCCATCTTCGGTTACCTAGGCGACCGCTTCAACAGAAAGGTCATCCTTAGCTGCGGCATTTTCTTCTGGTCCATTGTTACTCTGCTGAGCTCGTTCATCAGCAAAGAGGTAAGACTCTCACACACACACATACCCACGCACACACACGCGCACGCGCACACACACACACACACACATATACATACACATACACGCACACACATATTACATTCACATACACAGACACACGCACACACCCACCCACCCCACACACACACACACACACACACACACACAGCATATATTATTCTATTAGTCTGCCGCTGCCTCTTTGAACTACAATGACGAGCTAATTAGACTCTTATGATGATGATAGGCTTGATATTAGGATATTAGGGCTTGTGAAATAGAATGACAGGCTCAGATTGGCAGGCTCTGCTTCAGGAGACGTCTCGCTCTCTTTCTCTACACCTGAGGTTCTCTGGCAGCCAGCCAATCGACTAATGAAGGCCCATGTTTCAGACTTGTCTCTATTACAATGCTTTAAAAGATAAGAGCTAGTTGTTTTAATGCCCCTTGACAAGTGGATTTAGATTTTAGACCTCCAAGAGTGCCCCATGAGATAGCTGCACCCTGGTGAAGTCAGACATTACAGTGGCTGAGTGGTTTCTCACATTTTTGAAAGGATTTCTCATGTTTCTCCCCTTGCCTGTGAAGATATCCTCCAGGCGCTCAGGTTTTCCCTTAAGTAAAGACTAATTAAGCAGAAACATCTTAAAACCATCCAAATACCTCCTTCCATATGAAAACATTACATGGTGAAGACTGTGAAGGATCGTCTGGGTATTAAAGTCAAGATATGCGTCCCATTCCTGTCGAGAATTGCCACTGCACCGCACAGTGTCCCCTCTCTAGTGAGTAATCCTCCTCACTGCTGACGCTGAGCCCAGGGCTGTAAGTGTCCGTGCACACTTCGCCTCAAATCCCCCGTAGATGATCCCCATCACAAAAAGACTACAGCAATTTGTATGAGCAGATTCCTCACTGAAGACTCTAACGGATATAAGTGATGGTGAGATGTCAGAGAGCGCAGAAGTGATGGTCACCCTCAGTGCTCTGGCCCAGGTTTAACCTCCTCCCTCAGACGTGTCTCAACGCCTGTCACTCAAATGGGACATCAGTGTATATGACTGTTATGTAACCCAGGCTCTATCACCATGAGATCAGAGACATCACAACCAATGCAGTGTTAATATCCAATTACTACATTGACTGCTGTTTCAACATTATATCAGGACTTGGAAGTCCAAAAGTGAACAATACTTTATCCAATTCACATTGACAATACATTGACAGTTACTAAATCCGTATAGTTTTCATTGAAAGTATGAGAAGGTATAAGAAGGGGTATAATACAGTCTCACTCTATCAGATCAAAACTTTCATATTTTTCCTCAAGTTGCTCTTTCAATATTGCATTTTTGTGGCATCTTCTCTGGCTCTATGCAGTAATTTACGTAAATGTGTTGTTGTTTTCACTTAACACTTAGCCAGTTGGTTTCTTTACACCACAGTGAAAATAGCTACCATTAAGATACCACTAACAAAGGGACCATAAAAGAGACTTGCAGCAAATCATTTATCATCAGACAAACACAATATGCAGTAGTTCAACGGAGATAAAATATGACGGAGACCATCCAAAAACAAACTGAGAGCCATCATAGGTGTAATCACACTCTTTTGTGTGTGTGTGTGTCTGTGAAAACGGCTCATGACACTAATCAGCATCACTGATCATGAGAAAGCAGATACAGTAGAGCAGGTCATTTACAGGCCCACTGTGGCCCGCTGTGACCCACTGTGCCTCTGTAGCAGCTCTGTGGCAGTGGACCTCTCACTGGAGCAGTTCTGAATGTTCAGCTTCAGAAAGTAGTGGTCGCATCTCCTGCTTCAGATACTGGAGTCAGCAAGTTTGCTGTTTCCATGGAAACACTTAACAATCCAGCTGCCTACACAGGTGATCCCAACAGTGTGCCTCTGTTTTATTCCCTTTTTTTAACATTACGCGCAGCATTGAGTACCATACCAGTTGATACTGTAAATGGTTTTATCACTCTGCAGTGTCACACTAATGTTTTAATTAAATGTAATATTTCAAATGTTTCAATTTGTCAGTATCAGATCAGTATCTCAATTTTTACAGGACATACTTAACTTGAGAAGATTGTTATTTTGTGAACTAAACAAATTTAGCTTTTTAGGAAGCTTCTGCTTTCTGCATCTATTACATTTAACCTCAATAAAAACGTGGTCTTTCTTGCAGCACTACTGGTTGTTCGTGCTGTCCAGAGGACTGGTGGGCATCGGTGAGTCCAGCTATTCCTCCATCTCACCCACCATCATCGGAGACCTGTTCACTAACAACAGTCGCACCATGATGCTGTCTGTCTTCTACTTGGCCATTCCTCTCGGGAGGTAAGACATAAACCTGAAGTTGAATTCATTTGCCAGCACAAAAGCTCTTATAGCAACAGGTGATTTATTCTTCTCCTTCTGTAAACTGTATACACAGCTTCATCTGAAAATAGCAAGTGAAAACACGTGACAATAAAATGTTTATTGAAACGATGTTTAGTGACAATAAAATATGAATTATTGCTCGATTAATGTTTGAAGCACAAAAACAACATTGTAGTTTCCATCACTGAGAATGTTCACTAAAAGCCAATAAATCACATATGTAAAAAAAGAGAAATATCCCATTACTATTGTTTTGGGAAATTTCAATAAACAAATTACATTTGGCAAACTCACTCTTTCACTCTTTCAGTTTGATTATAGCCTACTTTTAGATAGATAGTTCCTGTAAAGTGTTCTTCGGTCTCTAATTCTGTGTTTGTGTCAGGTTGTCATGACCATTCCGAGGAAGTCTCCCAATTACCAAAGGTTTAGAGGAAACGGGGTTCACTCCGCTCTCAGATTTGTGTCTATAATTTAGAAGCCGTGGTAGGTTGAGTGAGGCGTGGATGTCTTTGTTGTTGTGGCCTAAGTTTCCACGCACACCCTGCTGCACGGTGATAAGCTGTTAGTCATATGCCGTCTGGGTCAGTAACCTGTTATTTTTAGGGGGCAACTTCTGCAGCCACTTCCATCTTTTCTTTTACAAATGTATGTTTTGCCGCCAGATCAACATGTTTTGCACAAAGTTGATAAGAGAAATTTCCTTAACAACCGCACATAATTAATCCTGTGCAGTTTTCACCTATTTACAACAGCCTTCATGCAAAAACTCTTAGACAAACAAGTTTTAAAAAGGAGGAGAACCAAAACTATTCCAAGCAGCTACAGATGGGAGAGGATAAAAGGGATTTAGGTCTTGGAAGAATGTAATAATAGTTTCCTTTAAAAGTCCATACAGAGTTGGATTGTGTTAAATTAAAAAAAATAGGACAAACCGATTCTTGCAGAACATATTCCTCTCAAAACAGACATTATTCAGCAGTTAGCTCAACCTGGGAGTTCATTTATCTTATCTGATCTCCCTGTGCGGCTTGTAGAACACCATTTACATTCAATTTCACACTGTCAACTTCCAACCTCCAGCTACAATAACGGCATTAACTAAAGCGCGTTCTTTTTGTTCTCCGGGAAGTATGTTTAGCACCTGCGATTTGTGGCATCAAAACAAAGACAGTCTCTGCTTTGATCAGCGGTCCTGTCATAAGCCCTGCATGTCAAGTGGACCAGCTCTCAGCACGACTGTAATGAGACAGCAAACAGGAAGCGTGGTGCGTAAGCAAAGGAGAGATGTGAAAGTGACAGACGAGGATAAGTCAGGACTGAATCATGCACTCGATATAGACGCAGCTGGAACATCAGTAAAAGAACAAGCCGACCTCTAAGTTCACCTTTAAGTTTCTCATGCTTAAAAGAGAACTGAGTAACTTTTCCGATAGACACTGTATTTATAATGTTCCATGAAAGATATGATACTGTATATATCTCCATGGAGTCAAGCCCCTAAAGCCACACGCCAAGTTCGAGGCCACATCTGTGCGTAACACTTCTAGTTCATAAAGGTTCATAAAATAATAATATCTTTCAACCAATTATGGAACAATGAAAACAATGAAACAACATTTAAGGACAATTATCATCATTTATGGACATTGGTTCTCTGCCCCTAATGGACCAATGGCTCTATGGCTTCATTTCTTGCGTTGAACTGTTGATTCTCTGATCTGTGTTGGCGAATAGGGGTGGGAACCTAAGGGTACCTCACGATTTGATAAGATACACAATACAAAGCTCACGATAACGATAATATCACGATAACAATTTTATCACGATAACAATTTTATCACGATAAGACGATTATCGATATGTTGGTCAGAAATATACCATATGCCAACTTATGGCATAAATAAAAGAAAAATGTTAAGTGAAAAAATACACTTTATTTCATGATAAATGGAATGGAGATGCGTAACGTAGTCATATATTAGGTGTTGATACTAATAAACATTTTTTTTTTCAAAATCGATATCGATACTTGGCAAATGTATATCGATAATCGAATCGCAGGAGAAAGCATTGCGATATATCGATACCCCTATTGGCGAATTTGACGGTTTTGTTAAATCCTTCGAGAGAACTGCTGATCTGATTTAGGGCTATACAAGAATACATTTAATTGAATTATAATTTCATACACGCCATCAGAATAGTTGCTAATAAACATATTTTTAATGTTTAATGACCAAAAGTTTGAGTTATTGTTTCTAAATATGGATTAAAAGCAGTGGGTTTTCTTTGGAGACTTACTGATATATTGTAATGTCCAATATACAGAAGCAGTATTTAAAATCAGATATTGGCCTCAACCTGTTTCCACCTGGCCCAGATGCTGCCATGGCATGGTGAACCTCATTATAAAGCTAATTTTCTTTAGAAAACAACCACATCTTTTATCATCACCCATTTATCAGCCATAAAATTACCATCAGCAGTTAGTCTTTAGTCTTTCTTTCAGCTTTTTCTTTTCTGGATGGCTGTAACTATAATGTACAGTCTGATCTTATGTTTGAATATGAGTTTTATTTGTTGATTCATTTCAGTGGCAGGTATTATCTTTTTCATGCGTTGTGGGTTAATTGGTTGGACGCAGAAACTGGCCCAAGACAAATCCTCCAATCTGTTCAAACAAAGGATGTACTGTACCATTTCAACACATACTAAAATGTGCTTTCTGTTTCTGCTGCAGCGGACTCGGCTACATCCTGGGCTCGAGTGCAAAAGTGGCAGCGGGAGACTGGCACTGGGCGCTGCGGGTAAGAGAGTCATTATCATCAGCTTCATCAAATCCATAAACATTAGACGGGGGTCTCCTGGGGGGGGGGGGGGGGGGTGGATGCTGATGCTGTCATATATACGGGGTCGGAGGAGTCGCAGAGGTCAGAAGAGGCCCCAGAGCACAACACATGGACAAACATGCGGTCCTGGGCGTGACATTGTGAGGAAGAGACACAGGAGAAAGCTCAAGGCAGATGAGCAAGTCGTCTCTCAGCATCGTGTCTGTTTAGATTCTCATAGAAGCTAAAGTAAGAGTGCATTAGTATATTCCCCTTTCTCTTCTGTAAACACATTTCATTCAACACCCTACAGGCTCTTCCAAAGGTGTCGGCACATGTGAAAATTACTTAAATGTGTGCATAATAGTCAGTGGAGGATGGATGGAGGGGTTTCACTAGGCTTTGTGAGAAAGATAAAATTTGGCAAAATGAATCTTAATCTGAGCACTGTCTTAAAACATATTTGCCAATGGGACAAGTCAAAGCATCTTGTTTTAAAAAGACTCAATAAATGTGTCCCTTGGAATAAGAAAATAAAGCAACAGTTCTTGAAACACTAAATGGCTTTGTCCCATTTTTTTGCCCTTTCTCATAATCATTGTGTTTGTCCCTAACAAAAATACTTGTGTCACAGTAAAATTTTGTGAACAAATCCGACCACAACCAACTGTATTCATCTTGAAGCATGTCATAATTTGTATGCTTGTAAGAAAGAGCCTTGTGAGTCACTATTGGCTGAGTGAGTGTGGTTCTCTCTTTTTCACTTTCCTGTCTGAAAAAGATCTACAGACGTGACAGAGGGAACAAAATCCATGTTTTGTGGTTGAAACAAACTGTTTTGAGAGCGAGGAACTCGTTAGAAGGATTCTGTTACATAGATCCATATTTTTGTGGGTTGAAAGTATAGGTACCAGCTTTAGATGATGGTCAGCTTTAAATGGAAAAAGAATTATGATGCCGGTTATTTCAGCAAGCTGCAAGATAATAGTATGCAGTAAAATTTGTGCCGTTTCTTTTTTCCCCTGTGGTTCATTTCTTAGCATTAGGCACATAAATCACAGGTGTCACTGCCGTATTTTATTAGGATTCTGCTGAGAAGGAGACAAAACGTTGTGCAGTGAACAGCTCTATAAGGAATACCAGCTGTAATGTGGCGGTCCAGTGAAACGGCCATCTCTACAGGAGCTCCACGTGGGGGTGGGCCTTTAAAAAGTGCTGAACAAATTACGACCTGACAGCAGCCATGAACTGACATTTAAGGAAAAGATTACAGTGCACTATTCCTCACCAATCATAAAAGAAACAGGAAGTCTATTTTTTTACTTTTTGTTCCAGCCGGGACACAATGACATTCCTAGTTAATAACCTCAACAAATATTAATCACCAGTGTGGCATGTTGGGAAAAACACATTCTTCGACATGAAACAAATGCTTCTGGGACGCTTCCTGCTTTGAGGAAATAACAGCAGCGCGCTTCCGTGTGTTTTTGACCTCCAAGTCCCTCTAGACTCCCCTGTTTTTATTACAATATGAATTTACCATAAACAAGGTTAGGCATAGGAATAAGACGCAAGGGAGGGCACTTTGGTCATTTATGTGATTGGACGAGGACCCACACCGGAAGACACTCAGGGCATGGGGGCAGTCAGGAGCAAGGGTCGTCTTCCCAGGTGTCAACTCAATAAATAGAAAGCTTCTTGCGTAGATGAAAATGTTCTCCATTCTCTCATCTCACGCACTTCCTTCCTGCTTCTTCTTCTTCTTTCATCCTTTTATTTCCAATGCCTGCTGAATATTGTATGGGAAAACAATTAATCATGCTAGTCTATTGAGCCTATAGCACAACACAACACAATTTCAGTGCTTTATCATCCACATATGAGCCACTTCCTAGTCAGGGGCGCTGCCATAATGAGCCTTCATATGTATATGCATATCAATGAATGTGTTATAGTGTGTGACTAATGCAGGTTGACAGAAGAAATTGTGTTTTTTTTACCTTGGTGTTTGTATTTCCCAAGCATTTTCTCCCCTACCTCTCTATATTCATCTCCAGCAAAAGGCCATGGTTTGGATTGGATGTCAGAGGCAAAGTGTCTCTGCATTGAGCATGTAGACAGAGGCGGCTTTGTCCTGGACGACGAGCCGCTCCCACTGAACGCTCTGTCTGCTCTGTGTGTGCTTCTAGGTGTCTCCAGTGTTGGGGCTCACTGCCGGAACACTGATCCTTGTCTTTGTGCCGGAGCCCAAACGGGGGAGTGCAGACCAGATCGGGGGCCGCTACAGGACCTCCTGGTGCTGTGACATGAAGGCGCTGGCTAAGAAGTAAGGCCCGGTTACATAAGAGCACACATGTTTTTATATGCACTTCAGATGGACTCGAGGATACTTCATGACTTATCACTTTCAGGGGAAACTCAGAAAAGGTTAATATTATTAAAAATTTCATTTAGTTTTGAAATTCAACTTAAAATGTGAAATTAACACAGACACATTACACACAGCGTATCAAACATACATATGTTGATTTATGTATGACACAAAGCTGTAAAAAACACAAACTTTATTGCACCGTGATGAATGAATGAATGAAGGATCTTTAACAACAAACAAACCAACAAAGATACAAATATATCAGGTCTCCTTTTCCTTTTTATCTGGCCAAAAAGGGAGTAGGAAGAATTATACAACTTATTTAATTTTCAACAATTGTCCAACTTCCTTTAGAACTACCTTTCATTTTATTTATTTAATGAAGTCCAAATAGTTACACTCAAACATAATATTTTGATCTACTGTACACAGAGTATACAGTACATAGATATAAATATAGATAGATACGTATACACAAGCAAATCTGAACTTAATTCCAAAAATTGGCCGTACTCCAAAGCAAATTCTTGGTTTGTAACTTCCTGAATTCTGATTATGATTTCAGAAAGCTTGTAAATATTTATTGAGAACACGATTTTCTGAATAGGTTTTATAATGAGCACTGGATAAGTAAACAGCGTCACAGTGCTTTGTGATAATACTATGACAAGATCATGGCTCTTATCTTGAGTGTCTTTGAAGCGCCTCAGACATAAGCAGCTGATGGTCCCAGATAACCACTGCTCGTATGTTTGTGGAGAGGAGGAGATGATCAGAGATTTTGATCTTGTGTGTCCGCAGCCGGAGCTATGTGTTTTCATCACTTGCGTCGGCGGCAGTGTCCTTCGCCACAGGTGCTTTTGGGATGTGGATTCCATTGTACCTGACCAGAGCCCAGGAGGTTCAAAAGACCGCTGTGCCGTGTGGAAAGAACCAGATCTGCAACAGCACAGACAGGTGAGCGATAGAAGAAGACGAGAACTTAAAACCACATGTAGAAAAGCATCATGCATTTAGTCTCATCTCACTCCACTCACCTGCTTTCAGAAACATGCAGTGTATCTCATTCATCTCCAGAATATTTAGTGTTTTTTCATGATAATTATTCATATTTGTACGTTTGTATAAGCTGGGGTATATGTACAATTTTCTACATACTGATTGTCGGAGGAGGAGGTTAAAATGTTGTGAACAAATCAGAGAAGAAGTCAGCAATTAAAATAGAAAATATGTTATAATTTCCACACTTGTAAGAATCACTACTGACACTTCGGCTGAGAACTAATTAGCTGAGGTGTGGTCCTATTTTTCACTTTTCTGTCTGAAAAAGCGGATTTAAAGATGTGACAGAAGCCAGAAAATACACATTATTGAAATTAGCAAAAGAAACAAACTGTTTTGTGAGCAAGAAACTAATTGAATGGATTTTAGTAATTTTTTTTGGTAGTTTGAAAGTCGGATACTGCAGGATTAAACAATGTAGTGTATTATATAAACATCTATTTATTCTTACATAGTTGAAATCCTAGCTTTTGGCTTCATTCAATGTCAATATTAGATTTATCAAATGTAAGGTGAAGAAATGCAGAAGACTCCTGACACTTTGTAGTTTCTCAGCAACAAAAATATCTGCTATAGTTTGAAATAAGAACAATACCAGGCTTGCTAAGAAAATCCATGGAAAAATACTACTATCGTAAACATGGGTATTATGCTATTGTCAACACATATTTGTTGTTCTCCTTCATGTTGAGTGCTTTGACAGCTGTGTTTCCGTGTCTCTCTCTGACAGTATGATCTTCGGGGGCATCACCTGCGTCACAGGGCTGCTGGGCGTGGTCATCGGCGCCGCCACCACTCGTCTGTGTCGTCAGAAGACCGAGCGGGCCGACCCCCTGGTGTGCGCCGTCAGCATGCTGGGGTCGGCCATCTTCATCTGCCTCATCTTCGTCGTGGCCAAAAAGAGCATCATCGGAGCTTACGTAAGGGTCATTACCTCCTTGACGTTCGGTTTGAGCAGGAAGGAAGAGGTGTGAGCAGATAGTGAGCAGTTGTTTATGGCCAGGACTAAATGGTAAAGTCTCCAGAGGCCGTCGGAAAAGCACATTGTTATGTCTGTTATTATTGAAACCACAGTAATTCACAGGATGCCATTACTTTGAAGGGCTGCGCTAATTAGTCTGTGTTTCTTGGCATTTCGTAACCTTAACTGTGTGTTTGTGATGGCCTTAGAAGTGGCTGCAGGTGCCAGAGATTTTTCTATAATGTTTTTTCAATCCAAAGTAAGAGAGCTGGCTCGGTGTAGTGCAGTTTGACAAGAAAAGGGTGGCACTCCAAATTCTTAGCCTTAAAACAATGGTGTAAATGTTATCAAAGTGCAGATTTCAGACTAGTATCACAATTTGAGATGTTTTAATGATGACTGTACAAGATTATAGGATGTAATATTTCCTGTAATCTTGTACAGTCAGCATGTACAGATCAAGTTCTAAGTGGAGTTATTCTTAATCCAAAATACTATGTACGTGGAAGTTTAAGATCTAATCAGGAAGCAGCATGAGGTTTTTATTTGGGTTGCTAATTTCAAATTTAACTGGTTTTGGCTCTATCTTTTCTTTTCTTTTATCCAATAACCAAATTAACAACATCAAAATAGCACCATATTTTCATCCGAATGAAACCAGGTACAATAATATATATTATACGTAAAAGACAGAGTAGTTTGTGCAGTTTCTATCTAAACCCCAGCAGGTGGATTACATCAGTAACCAGTAGAAGTGCGATTATACTTGTTATGACTATTATAGACCAATAAAAGTGCATATAACATACTGTCCCTTTAAACAAACATTTTCAAAACAAAGCTATATTTTAGTTTTACGGTACTACTCCAAAGAGATCACAGACAACAAACAGTTTTATAAGGAAATGGGATCCTCACCACATCTCTGCAGCTGTCAGCTCAAAAATGAAAGTCTGTAACTATAAAAGCACAGTTGTATGAGATTGATGTATTCACAGCAAACCACTGGCAGATGTGTGAAATTACCCGATGTCAGGCATAGTTCTGCCCCTGGAGATGACGCCTTATCCGCGTTTTGAGTGTCACATGTCTCTAAAGCGTAACATTGGTCTGATTGAAGGTAGTTCCCCAGTAGGAAACCCTTCACTCAGCCGTGTTGAACCGTGCAAGATTAAAGCAGCCGATTCAGATATATGAGATTCCACTATAAGCAAAGGGCGGTATGCTTTCTAAGTAACACCAGCTGCTAACACCTCATATACTTCCCAAACGTTTTAATACATATTCCACATCTCAATTCAACACCGTTATTTAAAGAGATGATATTTTTGCCCCACCCAATGCAACAAGCAAAAAACAAACTTCCACGATTTTGTTTTTTAAAATGGCTTTTTCCAGAATCTCCTTATTGTGCTGCGGACCAAACGCTTCACTTAGCAGGACCAAAATGAAAGCCTGTGTATCTATGTATAATTGGGCCACAGCGTAATGACATGTTTTAGAACCACACTAACCCAAGCGCTTTTAGAAAGACCCACATTCACACACGCTGGCACAAACTTAGGGATGTCCCGTTTTCCAAAAGACAATGTTATTTGCTGCTGATCATTGCGTCTTGGTTGTGAGTGATGATGGAATGATTCAGACTAATTGATGTTATGTTTTCCATAGGTTTGCATCTTCATTGGAGAAACTCTTCTATTTCTGAACTGGGCCATCACAGCTGACATTTTAATGGTATGTCATAAAAAAACCTCCATGTTGGTCAATGGAGATTCCTGTAATGCACATAGGATTGTTTTGGCACAGTACTTCAGGGAAACCATTTATTTTTGTGCAGGTTTAATAGATTCACTCACTTTTGTGCGCTGACGTACACAACTTTATTATGAAAGCTTGATTGTTTTTTTTTGCATTTTTCTAAAAAATAAATGATTTGTAATGGAAATTAAAATATATCATAGTCATTGAGTATGTTTACAAAGCACTAGTGGAAACCGGTTAACTCAGTGATTAAATTAGATTGAATCAGACGCATGTGAACCCATGCGCGCTGATGAAGGGTCGAAAATCCAGTTCGTTTGGCAGAACTGGATCGAACTATTTCTACTCAGTTTACGCTAGCCTGTGACCACATAAACCGGATACTACTGAGCAGGTGGATTTAAGAACTCTATGCTATGCTCATATTAGAAATATATTTATTTGGATGCTACCCACTCAATTTGGTAATTGCAATGAAGTACACAGTCCCTCGTGTTTCATTGATTTGGTCAAAAGCAGGAAGCACGGCATGAAAATAAAATGTTTCAAGTGAACTGTATATATTTTATTTACACTACTGTCCCACTGATTGCTAAGGCAAAGTTACATATTTGAATGTGTGAGTGGTAGGACCTGTTTGGGGGTACATTTTTTAGTTTACTCTGTATTCTTGTGCTTTCTAAACATACTCACTCATATAAGTAAATATGGCGACATTCTTATAACTTACTGGAACCAGAATGTGAATCGCTTATTTATAGCTCAAGAGTTCTTTAAGCATCTTAGTATCCCTTGAGCTTATAATTGTACCTGATCTCATGCTTTTTTACCTGCAGTTCGTAGTCATCCCGACACGACGAGCGACAGCAGTGGCCTTCCAAGGCTTCACTTCTCATCTTCTGGGAGACGCAGGGAGCCCATATCTCATCGGACTGGTAAGAGTCATTGCATAAGAACCTGCCTAATTTATAATACATGGCAGAACATATAGTATCTTTGAAAGCCTTTCCTACATAAAGACACATTGAGACGCTAAATGAGCTTTAAGTGGGCCAGTCCATGGACGAGAACAAGTGGAGCTTTTAGCCACGCTCCCAAGAGGACGGCTTAGCACAGTGGCGATTTGAGCAGTCTTCAGCCTGTCAGAGCGTCTTCTAGTAAATCTTGTAGCTCCCAAAAGAGGCCACTGTTACTGTATTTGATTGGTCTGGAGAAGGCGGGGGCACTTAGCCGGGGCACTTGGTCTGTCAAGGTCGCCGTAAACACCACCCAGCTCCCCCCACGCCCACTTGTCCATTATAGGAAAACAGTCAAGTGAACAGAGCACAAGTGAATGGGTAATTTATGTATTTGGAAAGAAGGTGTGTATGTCTCACAAGTGCACATTTTATTATTCTTGAGAGGCCAAAAAAGTAGGTTAATCTCTGTTCTGCTTTACTGAACTAGTTTGGTCCATGAAGATGAATCAAAACCCACACATTCACTGAGGCAAACATTTATATCTGCAGTTATTGTACTGTGCAGCCAAAACACAATAGACTGTCTTTGTTCCATGTGTTTGCATTGTGTTATATTGTGGTGCCCTTTACTTAAAGCCTGGGGCGATGGAAGTCTTTGATTACGGTCCCTGCCGATTCCCAGTTGAAGTCTGTCATATTCACAACAGCTGCAGAGTCAGCTGTGTGTATTCTACTTAAATGTAGATTATATTCCATGCCAAATAAAAGAAACAGTGAGAGCTGTATGTAATGACAAGAGCTTCAGAAGTTTTAACAATTCCAGTGTCAATTTACAAGCCCAGAGCTTCCTGACGCTATTGATGCATGGGTAAATGAAATGCCAATCATGTTCAAAGGCAATATATGTTAGATTAGAATTACATGCTGTTTTTTTTTTTTTTTTTCATCTCTATACCCAAATAGTAGGCAAACATTGTCAAATGGTGTTTTGCAGGTTGATATATTATTAATTAGTTGCTTATTTGGTTTGCAGTTCAAATAATGAAATCTTGTTATTTTATCATTATTTTAGCACCAACTCTTGCAGACAGTGATTAATTACCCTGAGTAGGAGCAGCAACTTATATTACTAATTTCTCAGTTTTACAGTATGTTATTTTATGTCAAACTCAGTACAGTATAGTAAAATCATTTGGTATCCTTTAATTATTAAGTATTGTTTTTGTAAGGATTCGTCAACATTTCAAGAGCACATTGTCACATTCCCTCACGATGATGCGAGTCCCTCCAGTTCCCTGCACAGGGTGACAGCTCCCCCTCCAGAGACACTCTCCAAATGTCCTGCGAGTTTCTCACCTCTACACAAACCTCAGGGGGCTCCGACTCCGTCACAGTCACTTCCTCGTTTTCCTGAAGCGAGATTTGGCACCCGAGTGCGATAGACTTCTGGTGACGTTAGCCACCGGGCACTGGAGCAGTCAGCACTACACAGCGTTTTGTGTATGAGCAAAGTCACAATAAGTTTGGGATTAATGGTAAATATTACTGATTGAGTGGATACAAAATATATATTCAACTTGACCATAACCAATGAGTTTTGTTATGATCAAAAGACTTCCTCATTCAAATGGTGTATGTATGTCAAGATATACATACTATTTTTTCATGTGGCTGAATGGATACCACTCTCGTTTCACAACCAGAAGGTCATGGGTTCGAATCCCAATCAAAACAAGGCCTTTCTGAGTTGTTTGCATGTTCTCTCCGTGTCTGTGTAGGTTTCCTCTGGGTGCTCCGGTTTCCCCTACCTCTATAAACATGCACAATAGGTAAATCCTCCAGCTGCGGTAGTCCTTCCCAAGCCGAGTATCAACATCCCGAGTTCTGTATTACGCCGAAAACTGCTCCGGACAGAGGCCCTAGTGGCATTGCGGGGAAAATTAAAGTGCAAATTTACATTACACATTTACATTTAGAGAGCTTGCACACACAGGCCCTTGTCCTATCAGCATCCCCAGAGAAACACACCATGGACTTCAGAATATGAACATGGGGCAAGGCACAATGTCACTGCAATCTTCTCCAGTATTGTGTGTTCACTCTTTAAACCATTCTGCAATTTCGTTGGTCAAATGAAGCTATTTCGGCTACTGAGAGCTAAGCACATAATCTTTTCCGTACGGCTGAAACACTGCACATCCACAAGAGCATAGAATGAATTAAAGGGGCTTCCCAGGAACATCTGTGTGTCAGCACTTTTCCAGCCATCCCATTGAGAAGCGCACTGCTGACTGCAACATATAATCAATATTCTCCATCCAGGGTGACCTATGGCTCCAAGTACTTACTCCCAAACCGGAAAACCCCTCGTTCAAACAAGCAACACACATAGCACATAAACCATACACGACTACACTGTAATCTGCTAAAAGCTGTTCCTCGGTAGCTCCCCCTTTCCATCACAATGTGCTATCTGCAAAATGATTGAGCCGTTATGGTTACAGGACATGTCAGTAACACCCATAGACTGTGTGTTAGGAGTGGACTGACCGAGTAGTGACCCAAAGTGTTTTTGAAAAGAAGCTAGCAGGAGCCGATATCCTTCAATGGGAATTTGTTTCGACAGTGTTCGCTTCGGGATAATAGGGGCAGATGTGTTGATGATGGTTGCTAAGGAAAGCTGAAGTTTCCTCCACGAAGGAAGGCATCTGATTGGTCAATCCTTTCGCTCATATACTTATAGATCAAATGGAATACTGAGCAAATGGATTTTACTTTTCAATGTCTAACGCAAATGTCTAAATTGAAGGACAGTGGTGATGATCCAGGACACTCAACTCAAAATTCAACAAAATGTATGGAAATTTATCAACATTTATGGACATTGGTCATCTGCCCCTACTAATCTATGTCTTTTCATTGTCCCATCTCTTGTGTTGAACTGTGTTGGCAAATTCAACGTTTTTTTAAAGTCCTTCAAGATAACTACTGTTGTGAATTAGGGCTACACAAGAATAAATTTAATGGAATGTAAGTCAATAGGAGCCAGAACGATTTGGAGCAAAACGTCGTCCATGAGCACTTCCCTATTCATTGAGCTACGGAGTTGGGAATGGGAAAATTTGCTTTGAGCTTTCAGAGCCATGAACTGGAAGAAGTTACCTGAATACTTGGTTATGCAAATATTTCTGTTCCTGTTTTAATGCCTTCGTACTAGATTCCCATCAAACAACAATATCACATTTTTCTTTCCCGTGAGTTAGCTGAGGTCTTTTCTTGTTTGTCATTGCCTGTTTGTGTTGACGTTACAGATTTCCGATAGCCTTCAGAAAAGCTATGCTACGTCAACCCTGTGGAAGTTCCTGAGTCTGGGATATGCCCTGATGCTCTGTCCCTTCATCATTGTCCTGGGGGGCATGTTCTTCCTGGCCACAGCGCTGTTTTTCTTGGATGACAGGGAGAAAGCCGACAGACAGTAAGTGACCGCCGTATTGTAGCTCATCATTACGTCGTTTATTATTTAGAGATTTGTCTTTTCAATATTTCATGGCGTCCTTGGATGTCTCTGTAGTGAGTTTATGAGTGAGCCATCGCAAGCAGTCCAGAATAGATTTACTAAAAGTTTCTTCACCGTTGTTCTGTGTGCGTTACAACCTGACACACAGCCCCAAATTTAGTAAACAGTCTTACAAATAAATAAAAAAAGAGAAACAGGAGTGCTTGAAATTACAAATACTGAGTGAAGTGCACTGCTTCAAATACATTAAGTTTATTAATTCAGACATTTTGTTTTTGTATATTCCTAAATCAAGATACATCTCAACGTTTTTCACACTATTGTTTCACATAACTGTTGATTGGCCAACAGCAGATTAGAAAATAAAACACATTAAGTTTATTGCATTCATGCTTTCAGCTTGAACAGCTCAAAAACAGAATAATTTACAATATAAAAATGGTAAAAACTTAGACACAAACAAATTTTACATTCATATTGTACAATCTGACTGCAGTTGCCAGTACAGATTGTTTGTTTGAGTCTTTGTTTGAACTTCAAACACATAAAAAATACAAACCATAAAACTCACAGGATAGCAGGTTAACCTTTTAATGGTTTCCTCAACCATTTGGTGGATTTCCTTTTGAGTAACTATACACTTGAAACTTGGAACTGAAATCTAACTGATTGGGGATCAAGGCACTTTTACCATGAAACTGCATTGCAACCATTTGGTAAAGTCCTATAAAAGAAAAAATAATAGGGGTACAAAAAAAAAAAATACACAAATTATTAGTGTCCTACATCTTAGAGAATCCAAAAAAGAAAAAAAGGCATTGCTTTCTTCAAGGAGTGAATGTTAAAGGGTTATTCAACGTCCAGAAATGTCCCAGATCAAACATAAATGAAGTAAAAGTAAAATAAGTTTATGGAGTATTTACGCCCGGTTAGAGGCCGCGGCACACAGAGTATCTACTGCTCTGTACAAACAGCAGAACGACCCGGAATCAGCTCTAAAGGTCCTAGAAGGATCATCTCCGGGGGGGGAATAGAGGGTATGTCTGTGTACAACATTTTAGCCGTCTGATGTCCGGGTAGACGTCATGTTTGTAATGGACTGCAGTGGTCACGGCGAGCGCCAACGGGGATGCCAGCCATGTGCGGCAGAGAAAGTCCTGAGAGCCCATCTGCACGTCAGCTAAAACCACCCCAGAGCTGACACAGGCTGTTTTATCCATCAATCCCTTAAAGTAAACTCGGGTTGAGGAGTTGGTGTTCCTACCGCCCTGCTTCCTGCTTTTAAACTTTCCTCTTTCAAACAAGAAAATAAGAAACAGTCGCCACCGTGACCATAAAAGGCAAACCCAAACACCCTTGTCCTGGTTCTGATGCCCAGACAGCACACACTTCGTCCCATTTTTTTTATCACGCAGACCTGGTCCCTGGGTGCTAGCTTTCTTCGGAAATGGCTTCCTTCCTTTTGTAAGCATGATGGCAGTCTTGTCCCTCTGCAAAACATCGTCACCAGTTCTACCCAACATTCCCACGCCAAAGCCCCTCATAAAAAGTGGATAAGTACATTACCAGTAGCACACATGGAAGACAACATCATAACCACTGTGGAAAGTCCCACCAGCACTTTGAACATTTTTGGCTTTGACTACAGCAAAGTTATGATATTGCCGCTGTAAAATAAATGTGAAAAGAATATCAGATCTGTAGCCAGTGAGGGTAGATTCTGCTGTGGGTTGTGTGGTGGTGATGTTTGAGTTCGGGAGAAAGCAGAACAATGGGTTAGTGACAGTGATTCCAGTAAGAGATGTGGGGTCGTGGTCTGGTTTGTGGTGGAGCTCTCTGACCACATAAACTCTTAGTGCGGCCAAATGGCACACGTTCACTTAAACACACTCTTTCACTTGATTAAACCATGACTTTGGAACCACTTCGAGACTGCATTGTTCACATATGAGCTCAAAAGAAGAATCAGAAATAGATGTAAATTAACACATTCTTTAGCAGAGTTATAGCCAACATTTGATGTGGATCTGAATTCAAAGTTTTACCACTAGGACAACCCTTGGAGTTAAAGTTGATCTTTTTAATGATCCTATGTTTAGATTTTTTTTGCCAAATAATAGTAATTTAACGTTAGTATATAGTGTTATCACAATATTACATAACTAGAAAACATGCTCTATTGGTGATACCACTAGCAGTTATTTATACTTTATACTTTAACTCAAAGTAATGATATTGTTATGGGGTCATCAGGTAATTTTCTAGTATAGTTTGAAATGAATCAAAAATTTTTATAGACTTTTCTAATGTTGTCCTGATGTAGTTTCCATATAGATTTAGTTCTTCATACTTTTCAATACTTTTGACACCCATACAGTATGTACTTGCTAATTGCCTGTGATGTTGATGTATGCGAAAATGTGTCGTTCTAAATAAATAATAATCTAGTCATATTTCTAAAGCATGTTCAGATTCGAGGCAACATCCCATTTGTGAAAAAGCACCATGAGTGAACAGTAGCTTACGTAACTGCACAGTGAAAGCCATAAACGTGTCTAACATCTACAACTCAACACAAGCAGGGCTATTCCACTGTGGCTATTTTTAGACCTCCATTCACACGATAAAGCCCCCATTTTTAAAATGCGCCCAGACTTTACAGCTTCTCCAGCGTGTCCTCGGATACTCAGAGCTATTTATAAAAGACAGAGGACTAAATGTGTAACTCGCTGGAGCAAACCGGGCTATTTTTGGACTCGGATCGTGCTTTATTATTTCTGAGCTGCCCATAATAGCGCTGCGAAAGTGTCTCTACCCCACCATATATTCACCATTAAAGTTACAGACGTGTGAGAGGGCTGTTTGATCCTAACAAGAAGTGAAAAGAGTGTGTGTAGATGTTATTATAGTGCATCATGAGATAAGATAACTTCATAACTTATTCATAACACATTGGGGAAATGCACACATACAGGACAGTCCACAGGGAGTGCACAAAATATACAAAATATACAATAAAGGTAGCTGCTATGCTTCCGAGCTAGTTAGATATACGCAGAAAGAATACCATGCTATTTGAAAGACATGTCTGCTTTTGAAATTATTAACTATTTTCCTAAAACGACTTTATTTTTCTTCACAGTTTGGCTCAGCTCACACCACGGTCGTCCTCTGTCAAGGTATGACAAGGTAATTTTCTTTGATTTCAAGCGGTCCATTAAGCTTGAGCTTTACAGAAAGGCAAATCCACATGCAATGGAACATGCTCTTACCAAGCACACACCAATGTTTCTCTTTGCCTGAGTATTATCTTTGGATAGGCTCATTCTACCCACAGTTTTTTAACTGGCTTACATACATTGCGGTTATAAAATACATAACAAAACATTGAAGTAGAAATGGTAATGACAGTACACAATATTTTGTGGGTCTTGAAAAATTGGTGAGATTCATCAAAAACGGCTGAAGATAAGATACGATATTCCTTCATTTGTCCAACAGTGGAGACATTTCAGTGTCATCGTTGCGCACATCGCAGCAGAGAAAGAAGGAAATAAGAGCACTCAGATTGCACACATCAAATAGAGTCTATTATTTAAGATAATAGACATTATAATTGACCGGCAGGAAATGAGTTAAAGGATTACTATGAGGTTAGGAAAAATGTTTATTCTGAATGTTCATATTCGAAAAAGGTTTGAAACCATTTAAAGTTATTGTTCAGAGTGGAGGAAAGGTGGAGAGCACATATGTAGTGTATTCTATGGGTTCAGGAAAAGTAATGAGTAATTGAACTATTCTTATATAATTTGTATTGCTTTTATTGCCGTGGTAAAGTGAGGATGTCGAGCTCACAACCCTATAAATAAATGTCTTAGACGGGAGACAATATGTTTTGTCTCAATCTCTGCCATTTTAGGATTAGAGTCGAAGGATCTTATTCTGAGATTCTTTCTTGTTATTATTGCCTAAGCTCCTGTCTCTGACATTCACGTGCAGCGGATTTCACAATCCATTTTAAGATACTTTTGCTCGCGCTCCATATTCTCTTTCATCTGCTCCATGTTCCACTTCAGGATTTTATTCTGAGTTTGCTTTGGTTCTTGTTGTTTGTTTGTTTCCTTTCTTTTTCAACGTTAAAAGTCACCATTTTTTATAAAAATGTTCCTTGCTCAAAGGGGGGTGCTTTGCGTGCAATCTTATATGTAGCCAATCTTTTAAAAATAATAATACTGTACAAGATTTAATGAATAAAACCAATTATCGTAGACAAGACTACTCTAAAAATGACATAGAACTCTGTGCTGTAAGAAAAAGAAAAGAAAATGAGAATTGAATAGAATTTCGAAAAAACCCTAAAATCCAAAATCAAATCAAAACGAGGATTTGGAGAACCATGACACCCCCACTGAACATTGTAAGAATAGATTTTGTGCAGCTCCCAGACTCATATTGATCTATCTATGGAGTCGCTTCTGTAGACATTGCACCCTGGGAATGATCAAAGCACCTTGTGTTTTACTGAGACAATGTTTACTTCCTGTCTTTATCAGAAACACACATGGGTCAAAACTTCTCGCAAATTATTAACCGTCAAAAAGACACAATTATTGGCAGCCGACCAGCCCTCACCTAACAAAGTAGGACAATGGAGGTACAGTTGAGGCTAAAGAAATAACAGGATTAGACCGGGAGTGATAAGAGGGACAAGGAATGTGGAGTGACTTTCTTGTAAAGGTTATCGAAAAGAGCCAAAAGGCCAAGGTTTCTTTGTTTACCTCTTTGTCCCTGCTCTTATGAAATCACGGCAGGAGACTGATCTGACGTGAATGTTAAACTAATTGCATCAAAGATAACTCTACTAAAAATGCAACCAGAATGAACTTGGGGGAATCAAAGTGTCTGATATGCAGGTTACATATTTTTGGTGTCTGATCCTGTGCCATTTGCAAGTCCGTGTAGTATTTCAGAATGATTGAGAAGGAAAAATGTCACAGAGATGCCAAAAATGTGCAAAGGGTGATCTCATTATTCCACATAGCATTTTGGTGGTTTGGAAATAAGAGATGAATACATTAAAGTGATTGTCTGGAGTTTGTCAGAAAAAGGAGAGAGAGGTACATGATTTGATAAAAACGACCCAAGCTCCCTCCCCCTTCCTTTCTGATTGGTCTACGCCTGCGTTTCCGTAACAATCAATCAACACATTTAAATGTTAATTTGAGAACACGTTATACATATACATTATTAATACACATGCACGGAGGTGTTCAGAATTATTTTTTAAGACAAAAATATTGTTTTAATACACGAAAAAAGCGATCGCAGTAAACCCGGAAGTAGCTATTATCATGAATTGAACATTATAGGACACATCTGCAGAGGATCTGATTATGGATATAGGTTCAGTATATAAATGATTATGGATATAGGTTCAGTATATAAATGATTATGGATATAGGTTCAGTATATACATAATTAACTCAGCGCAGATGTTCAGAATTCTTTGTTCAGTTTTCATGTAGTTCCAGAGCCTAATAGAGGTTCCGTGAAAACAAACAACTGAGCATGAGCAGCTACGAGTATGAGCGCCGATGATTGACAGCTCTTGGCATCACTTGATTGGTTAACGTGGACGGCATCGTGGATTCTGACCTATAGCTAAGAGAAGGGAAGGCGGGACTTGCCCATAATATTAGAATTCATAAGATGACTTATTTTATATCAACATTTAAGGCCAGGAGGTCTATTTAATACAATTCTTAAAATTTTTATTTAATTTAGAGTTCCAGACTATCACTTTAATTAAAAATTGAACAACAGGTGCATATGTATTTAACTACCAGCAGTTCTTGGCTCTCATGTTTATGTATTTTTGGCCTCTGTCCCAACTTTAGATCTCAGTACCACATTCACTCAGCCAATCAGCTCTCAGGCAGTGTCCAAGTGTCCAATAGTGAGTCACAGGGCTGTTTCTTACAAGTATGGGTGTTTTCTAACATTTTACTTTTACAAGACTCTTTCTGTTGGAACAAACAAAATTGAATATTCATTAAACAAAAAATAATGTACCACGACTTTAATTGATACGTCTCTTGTTGTTAAAAGAAGGTAAATGCAACAGTCCAAAGATTTACCTTAATTTTTTTATTTTTTGGGATAGAAATGTGAATCTTTCAATATCACATGCTGCCTTTAGAGAAATAGGAGCTAAATTTCAACAAAACTGTACAATTATGACATGATGGCAAATTATTCCTGAATTATGACTTCCCCTGACAGAAAGACCAAACCCCATTAAACCTAAGAGCTTTGAATAATGGAAACTTATAACATCATGAATATTAAAATGCAAAAATACAGTGATTTTTCAGCATTAGCCTCCTCCGTCTGACTGGATGGATTATGTGTCCCACGTCCTGTCAGAGACTTGTGGGTTGATTTGCATTTCGCACTGATAAATTGAGAGGAGATGACTTTTCTCCAGGGAGGAAATCAATCTAAAAGACCCGGTGATATTTGGTGAATGGTTAAAAAAAAACACATTATGCAACAAATTATACAAAATACTGCATAGCCCCGCGCCATAGCAGTTGAAGATTTTTGCAACCGTCTTAAAATACATGTTACCAACTCATTTCCTTCACATAGTTTGAATCTTCTCAGTGACACGCCTGGCCTTTCTTTTATGGAAATCTCAGTCTCAGATCAATAGAGTTCAAATGTATCAATTTTGTGGCACCACCTGCATGCAGATCCTGTCAAACCTCTTAATCTAAGCAGAAGAGGACCTGGTTAGTACTGTGATGGGAGACCTCTGGGAACACCAGGTGCCACGGTGGCTGTGAAGTGGCTGTAAAGTGCCAAACTCCTGTTGTGTACTTAGGCAAGAAACTTCCCCCACTTAACCTAGTATGAGTCCGGTGTCTATGTGAATGATTAGTGGTTGTCGGAGGGGCTGGTTGCACAAACTGATTGCCTCGCCTCTTTCAGTGAGCATCAGGGCAGTTGCGGCCACAGTAGTAGCAGCTCATCAAAAAAGCGCAATATAAAACCGATGCATTCTGTTTCTCCTAGTACTGACTAACCACTACACAACCCCTCTGAAATGTTCATAGCAAGCTCTTGCAGAGCTACAGTGGCATTTTCTAAAGCCATCTCCATAATTTCAAGTACGGATGGAATAAATGTGAAGAAATTAGGATGAAGCGAGGCACTAATCACATCAGCTGTTATATATCGCAAGCTATTAATCTCCACTGCAGTCTCGGAGATTAGGTGCATCGAGGCCCATAGGATCCAATTATTCATTTTTACTTTTATTGTTTTATTGCCAAATAGATTTTCAGAAAGGCCACAAAATAGTCAATTGGAGGTGATAATATTACCAATATAGCCTTAAAGTACATGCTTCAAAAAGATAATAATAATAATGTCCTCTTCATTTGTTTGGAATGCATTTCCTCCAAGAGAGAATTGTCTCCAATCCAGCAACAAAACATTACTGGGACTGTGAGGTTCATTGTTTTCCCTGTTTATTCTTCATTTGCTACAAAAAAGACAGTAAGTGGTCAGTGGTCGGTGAAGTCTCTGAACGTCACCTCTTTGTCGAGTTTCCAAAAGGCTTTAGAAAGTGTTGGCCGTATTGTATTTCTTTATGTCCCAACAGAAAATGTTGTAAACAATTCAGACAACAACATGCTTTATCTTTAAACATTTCAACTTTTACACACTTAAGAAAGAGCCCTGAGTCAGCTGATTGGCTGAATGACGGTGGTTCTCTCTATTTCCCTTTTCTGTCTGAAAAGCTAATCTAAAGATGTGACAGATGCCAGAAATACATGTATTTGAAAATTAGTGAATTTTATTACATCATTACAGATTTGTTTGTAGTTTTAAAGTTAGGTACCTATAGTTTTAATATTATAAATGTATTTTTTATAACTTTTATCTTTTATCTTAATTATCTAAGTCTATTATGATTGCAAATGTATTTATTGAATCCATAAATTTGTGTGGTTTGAATAGAGTGACGTTGTTTTGTATAAGGATACCACAACTGTGACCTGTCTAAGGCGAGGTTGAACATTAATAAAACATAAGATGAAACATAACAAAACATAAAGATAAAATAATTAATAAATAAAAAAAGAATCCTGATCTTTTCCCAGTAAAATAATGAATAAATGTGCATACTGTTCAGATGGCTACAGTATGATGTCATAATGTCAGTGATAAATATTTAGGTCAGTCACTGGTCCTGTTGCGTGGGTGTGATCACAGATGGCTTTGGATCCTGTCCCTCCGCTGTGTAATAATAAGATGTAAAAACGCCCCACGGAGAAGACAGATACTGAACCGCTAACACCGTTTCTGTCTCTTGTTCTCAGGTGGGACAAATCTGAAGAGCTTTAAGATGGAGCCACCAACACGGGAGGACAAGATGCAAGGGGCAGTATTTCCGTCTTTAGTCCGTCTTCCTCCGTAAACTGCATCTTCCTCTGTTTTTCCGTCCCGTTTTGCATAAGCTCTGAACTGGACCGAGGGTGCGTCTTGCCCCTCTGCAACAGACGCCTAAATCACAGAGGGTCTGAGTCTGTGACGATCCACTGAACCTTCCACAAGAGGACGAAGAGTGGCCTCCTCTTCCTCCGATGCCATACTACTGAATGCTGGCCACGAGTCTGCCCTGTCTGTCTGCCTGTCTGTGTGTAACTGCGTGTCTGTCTGGTATATTGGTCGTCTCTTTGCACCAAGTGCCATAACATTACATTCCTAGGAACTTTGCACTGATCACCTACAACCTCTCATTTTATTAGTGGCTGTGATTACATGCACTTGAGAACGGAGGTGTTCAAATTGTCTGGGGGTGAAAGTGTCTTTTGCTACATGATTTGAAATATGCTGTTACTTACATCTATTTTCTAGTACACACAGTATTCTCTCCAGAAAAACACGCAAATAGGTCTTTCGGTTTTAAAAGAATTGCACCTTCGTATTTTCTGGATGTGCAACCATAGCCTATTAACAGAGCCAAAAAAGTGTTGCTATAAACATCCAAGAACCAGCCTTAAATCAAACTGGAGCTTTCACATCAATAACATACATACGTGCGTTTCCGTTGACCCTGCTTTGTTTTACTACTAGCTTTCAGCACTTAACTCAGTGCGTTGTGCCAGAAAAGGACAGAGACAATACTTTTATGCACATCTGTTATATTAATATTATTCACAAGATTGTATTTCTTGTGATATTTTCCTGTTGTGTGTGAATGTGTGTGAGATGTTACTGCCCTATGATTTCTGAAGGTTAATGATATTGAATAGGACACTGGATAATGACATGTTTTATAATTTATATTGTATATGCTTTTTCCACAATTTTAAAATAATTTTCATCAACAAAGCAAAATTCTAGAGAGCAACTTTCCCACACTACCTTAAAAGTGGTTTTTAGGTTGTGCGCCCACTTAGAGAGATGCTACACAGCCATGTCTGCTCCAGTTACAATCAAGGCCATTGTGTTAGTCTAACAATTGTACGGATCTCATTCCACCATTAGAAGGGGGAAAATCCTTTGAAAAGACTCGTTCTGCGCTTATGCGAGCAGACGAGAGATGAAAATCGGAGACAGGAAGAGGAAATCCATTGGCCTGGGTTGCACTGATGAGGAGTCCCATCACTGATAACAGATAACACAGGAATCCACCTTTGAAACAAGACCAGAAAATCTCCAACGTCCACTTAATTACCTGCTTTTAAGACTCGCCAAGAACAAACTTACACAAGTCTCCACGCTTGGCATCTCTGCTATTTTATTTGACCCCTTAAATCAAACTATTAAATATTTGAGATTCAGACACAGGTGGCAAAAGTTATATTCTTTTAGATTTGTATGCGTAGTAGATACTAGTAGATACTTGTTTACAATAATCTACAAACTAACTTCAGTTTAAGTAAAAGTACAAGCTTTTGTAACCAGAGAAAAGTCAAAAAGCGTAATATGGGACATTTAATTAAAAAGTAAAAAGTAAAAAGTAGCCATAGAGCGCAGACCTCCCCCTAGAGGCGCAGTTCCATTCTTTTATAAAATCCTGCATCTAGAGGGTGATTCAGACCACTTCCAAAATCAGTTGTCCATCGCATAAACGCTTTCCAAATCCATATTTTTTGAGTCATGTTGCTCCCAGACAAACACTGTCAATCACTTCACCTCCTGGACTGAGTAAATTATGCTGAATGATCTGCAAAGTTACCCGCCATTATAAAATCTAAGAACTAGGAGATGCAAATATTTGGGTTTTAAAGTAAGCAGAAAAATAAAGCATAAATAAAACCTAAAGTAAAGTACTGATTCCAGGAAAACATACTTAAGTAAATACATAAGTTACTTGCTACCTCTGGTTAATCATTCAAGACACAGTACAAAATACAGATTGGATCCTGCAACTTCAATGCCTCATAAAACTTTCAAACATTGTAAAAACCTTGAGGCTACAGTGAATCAGAGGTTCAAAAATATATCTTAAAGATTCTTTCTAGATAAAAAGCTCTTGTGACAAATGCAGTGGGCCGAGGCCGCAGCGACCTTAAGAATAAGCGGAGAATGGTGTTGCATTGATGTGAGCGTGAGTCACTGGCTCTGCGTCCCTCTGAGTGGGCAACGTCCTTAGCTTTAGTGAAACTGAATGTGATGGCGTCCAACCCGGTATACTTCTTAAGCTTCTTTCTTTATGAACTTGTTTTTATGTTACCAAATGACTTTTATAACTACAATAGAGATCTATATATAGATAATTATGCAGCCACTTTAATATATTGTAAATGATGGCTTCGATGCAATGTATTTATTTGTTATGAAGAATAATGTGCAAAGGGACGTTCTTGTTTTTTTGTTTTTGTATGAATGCCTGTATCACAACACAATACCTTTCAAATCAGCATCCATTCTCTTTACTGTGATCATGGATGACATTACACACAGCTATAGGAAGAGCGATAGATGGTGTTATTGTAGCTCGTATGCATGACGTTGTTTGAACCATTTTGCACATTTTACGTTCAGGGATTTCTTTCGTTAACCTCACATCAATTCATGCTCACAGTAAGACACAGGTGCGTATTCACAAATGAGAATAGGGTAAAGTCCGGCGAAGCTTTTCTGCGTGATTCTCATTTGTTGGTATGTTCCTGCAGTGTCATATCTCATGAGAAGGGACAATGTATCACTTCTAAATGTCACTTGCCAAATTGAATTGATCTGAAAACCCGTCCATAGCTTAGATCTTTTTGTCTTCTTCATCGCCGCCATGGTGATGTACTAAGAATGTGCTTTTTCTTGTCATACAAGAATCCTGTACAAATTAACCTATTTCTGATGTTGAGCAGAAAACTAAGGTTATTTTTATTTTTAGAGGAAGTACATGAATTACACCTGTCAGAAAATTAAAAAAGAATATTATTTAGAATTGAACTGTGATGCTCCTTTAGAGGGCTGACAAATGTACATGTCTGTAAATCAAATAAACCTATTTAATCACTTCATACTTGGGCTTCTGTTTTTATTTACTCCATTAGTATTCTTTGTCGCCATAAAGTATTTTTCTCCACTTGGAATGTTATAAGTAGCAGGAGTAATGGCTGCAGCTGTAATGTTATGATTCAAGGCTGATTCCTATTATTACATTTCCAACACGATCATAAGAGATTCACTAGAAACTAAAGCATTCAGATACCACAGAAAAGTTCAATTATTTCTTCAATTCAACTTATAATGTGACTGTGGCTAATATATTATATTTTCTAATATGTTTAATTTGGGGTTTTCAAGCTGTAAGCCAATTATCAATATCATTTAAATTAATATATAAAGGATGTGTGAATAAATAATAAACTCTTTCCCTCATGCTTGACTTGGCCGAAAAGTGTCATGACTTTTGTGGTTTTATTTAGCCAGTGTGAGGCCAATTTTAGAAAAGCAAAGTGTTCTTTGCTGCATATAAATAAAGAAGTTCTTCAGGGAAATTTCTGCATGGCTCAATGTGCTAGTGGCAGTCATGTATTATAAGATAAGATAAGATAGACTTACATGTACATGTCACATCTGGCATGGATAGAATCACAAAAAGAAAGAAGTGTGCAAACATGTTAAATGCAGGATATATTGCGTACAATAAAAAAGTGGAAATTGAAGAAGCAGTGGCAATAGTAGTGCAGGTTTTTTATTTGTCCTAGTGCAAGTTCTACAGTCTGACAGCGGTGGGGATTATCAACATTATTTAAATGAAGGCTTAATAAATCTCACTTAATGTTATCAGTCTGTCACAGGTAAGTTTCACATTGTTAACAGCATTACAGAAGAAGTTTTTAGTTCAGTCTATATTAGAAAGGGAAAGTGCACAGAGACATTAAGCTCAGAGACAAATACGTTTGCACCAGATCATAGCGACACATCTAAAATCCATCTCCAGCCACCAGAAGTTAACTTTTTGTAACGCTATTCTATTTTTGCATGTTTCACTCACACATTTTCAAGTCCTTTAATTCCAAAACATTACAACATTAACTGTGTAAAGTGTGAGGATTGCAGGTTAGATTATGTTTTATCATTGTACAGAATGCACTGCCCACAAACCTGTCCATGTTGTTTGAGAGGAAATAGATTCTCAAAGACGATCAGGAGCCTGCATCCTCTAATCTTTTGAAGAAAATCAGATAAATGTTTCACTTCTGACATGACAGGCAGCAGGTTCCTCCTCTTTCCTTCATCTCCAGTCAACAGCTGATGTTTATCTCGCCCGGACAAGGACCTGAATGAAGCCGAGGATTGTCCGCAGTGCAGTGAGCCGGGCCTGTGTTTGTGCAGTAATCTGGTGGTGCCTGTGTGCTTTGGGGACCCACATGATATTACACACAAGAAAAGCTTCTCTGTGGACATCATAAAGAGAGAAAAAAAACATCATATTTAGTTTACCCATGCAGGAAGTCTTTGGGTAAAGGTCTCCTGTGTGCTGACATGCAAGCTGCGTGGTATTACAAACATGGGAGCTCGTTCAGAGTAATGGGCTTGTGAAAGGCATGGCTTGCAAAATTACAAAACGCATAAATACTGTGTGAGATTCTCAACATGTGGCCCAGGTACATGGAATTAGTTTGTAATAAGATTTATTTTATTTAATGCACTGTATGTATTAATACTTTATTATTATTATTATTATTATTCCTGGTCAATTCAGGAAGATCATGTGGTTGTAGAGAAAATCTTTTTTTGCACTTTTTTATCATCAAAACATTTGCATGTGGAATAGGATAAATGAGCTGGGATTAGATCGCTGTGAGACCCCTGATGATGTGATCTCCTTACAGAAATAATGCTCTTGTCTTATTTTGCAAAACTGTAGTAGTAT